TAACTGTCCAAAGATAATTTATCTTTGTCTACTTATAGATTGCATTTTATTTATTAACATTTTCTACACTGTATAATCTTTTGTCCTTGCTATTTCATACAGTGTAATTTCAATATTCACAATAATATAGGGAATGCCAATATACATTCATTATTCTAGGGACCTGAGCAATAGATCAGGGTCTAAGGCATTTGTCTTGCATTCTGCTAACCCTGTTTCTATCCCTGGCACTGCATATGGTACCAGAAACAAATATCAATATTTCTAAAGTAGCAATCTATATGCACAAACCACAGATCATTTACCCTCTTTGTGATAGCTATTCACCTTGCTTCTGGTTATCATAAATAAATATCATTAAATTATAACTTTTGTACAATGCTATGCTTTCTTTTTCCCTAAGCTAAATAACTAGGTATTATTTGAGATGTAATAAAACTGTTTTCTAGAGTTATTGTACATTTTATCTTCATATTTATCAACATGTTCCTTTTCATTTAGGTCATATAACACATATAGTTATCTCATTATGATTCTGCTTTAACTTAAAAAAACTAATAATGTTAATGCTTTCTCATATGTTTATTCACTGTATTCCTTAGTGAAATGCCTGTTCATCTGCTAAAACATTTGAGCGCTTTGCTTTTACTGGTTATTTTCTTGTTACCAAAGGTTTTGACATTGCTGTTGTTTGGATACAAGATGATTATAAAATTTATCATTTGCTAACAGCTTCCTCATGGAGGTGATTTGCTTTTCTGATCACTTCATAATTTTATGAAGTATAATTCATCACTTCAAGCTTTTGTCTTTTGCCTAATTATTGGACATGAACCTTTTCTCTGATGTTTGATTTTTCAATGTTAGGTTTTATACTTTGAAATAGTTTTTACATAATCTAAAATATTTTGCTCCAAGCAAATGCCCAATTCAATTTTTTCCAGGCTTATTTATTTAAAATACCACCATTTTTCTATTACTTTGTTCTACTGTCCATTGTTCTGCCAACACCACCCAGTTTTGACTATTATACATCTGTAATTATTTTTCTATTTTGGGAGCACTCAGGGGATAATCCTAGTTCTGTACTTCAGTAGTCACTCCCAGGAGTGCTTAAAGAACCCTGTGATGCTGAGAATTAACCGGAACCTCCTGCTGCAAAAGCATCCGTTGAGCCTGTTGGGTTATCTCTCCAGCTCTACAAACTAATTCGAATACGTAAGCATTAGTTCTCTAAACTTTTCCTTTCTCAAAAAAATTTTTGGTTGTTCTCCACCTTTATCTTTTTCAGTTAACATTAGAACCAACAGCAATTTCTACTTTAAAAAGACCTGCTAAGGTATCGATTAATGTTGCACAGAATTTATACTGATATGGGCATAACTGACACCTTAACAATATCACATTGCATCATAAAACATAAAAATGTATGTACATTTATTTGGGTTTTTAGGAATGCATTAAACTTTAATGACTTTTAATTGCTCAAAGTAAAATGTTCAGGCATTAATTACTGCAGTAGAAATAAAGTTAATTTTTGAATATTATTGTGTACTTTTACAAATATTTATTGATCTTTTGAGTACTATTCCTATATCATGCAAACATGGCAAGAATACTTGTTTTAGTATCATTTTACATTAATTCAAATAAATGTCATAGACATTATTTTAATCTGTAACGACAGTCTTATGTTCTTCTTTACAATATGGATGTCTTTCTATTAATTGTTCCTAAGGTATTACACTGACTAAAAATTCCATGATAATATCAATTATAAGTAGGAAAAGAGAATATTTTTATCTTATCCTAATCATAGGGGAATAAGAATGTTCTCTTTAAAACAATACATATAATGTAGGTCTTTTTCATACAAGGAATTTTTTAGATTGAGGACCTTTTCTACAATTTACAAGGTCAATAGTACCTATGTTAATCTCTCACAGGATTGTGGTATTTTGAGAATAAAAATATGATATATCCTTCAATTTTGTAGCCTCAGTATTTGGAAGTCAAACCACACCTACATTACATACTAAATATATGTTCATGTGTAAGTAGGATATTAATCTAAAGTCTTTACAACTTAATCTGAGATATGAATACTAATTGCTAATTTCTGTTCTAGTATATTTTTTCATGCTTATCTTCCTCAAGTAGGACATGGGTAAGAAAATGTTTATATTCATATTATGGAAACAGAGTAAGATGTATGAAATAATTAAATAGAAGCAAAATATATTGTTTCTATTGAAAAATATTGAAACCAAAAAGACTGACATGTTTTTGAAAAATTCATGTTATAATATTTCATGGGCTGGAGTGATAGCACAGCGGGTAGGATGTTTGCCTTGCATGCAGCTGACTGGTCCGACCCAAGTTTGATTCCTCCACCCCTCTTGGAGATAGATCCCTGCAAGCTACCGAGAGTATCTTGCCCTAATGGCAAAGCCTGGCAAGCTACCCTTGACGTATTCGATATGCCAAACCTTGTAACAAGTATCACAATGGAGACGTTACTGGGCCCGTTCCAGCAAATCAATGAACAATGGGAGGACAGTGACAGTGACAGTAATGATGATGCAATTACTTATATATTTCAGAAGCAAAATATTCTTAATGATCTCAAACACCAACCACCAAATTTTCTAATCTTTCAAACATTTTTATCTCTATTTTTATTTTCAGGCCATTTTCTATTACTTCGCCATAAATTATTCTGTTATGGTTTTTTTTTTTTATTTTATTTTTGTGTGTGGTATCAGGTATCAGCCAGCATTTCACATTTGTGAGCATGTGCTCCATCAGAGGGCTACATCTCTGGTTTCCCAGCATGCTCGCAATTAGTCAGCTGAAGAGTACCAGTGAAATCTGAGAGCAATATGACAAAAGTAAGGGCAGGCTATTGGCAGAAAATAAATTTTAATGGGTGGAGAGTGAAGTGAATTGGAATCTCAGAAAAGAAGGGAAATGCTTGCAAAAGGATCACAGCTAATGACAATATTTCTATGTTAATAAAAAAAATTGACCTCAGAGCAACATTAAATTAATATCGATTATTGTATATATAAATATGCTCACATTATATCTAAGGGTAAGAAAAATTATATTTTTTTAGATATATTGTCCTCAATCCCCATTTTTTCCTTTTTGTTTAAGCTGTAATCTCTTATTTTATTCATTTGGAAGTTAAACAAGTAATTATTTGTGGGTTCACCTGTCCCCAGTTTGCACAAAGTTTGAATCTAGATGTCAAATGACAAAAGGGCATTCTAGAGTATTAAACTGAGTCTTATGGTACAAATTACAAACTAGAAGTATATAAGCAAATATGAGGAAAGTTAAAATTCATTAACAAATAATTTCAGACATCTGGCAATTAGAATGTTTACAGGCAAAAACTGAACAAGAACATTCTAGTAATTGTTCAAATAATTCACATTATCCCAAATCCTCCAAATGCTACATAATATACATTCAAATTAGCTCTCATTCTCAAATTCTCAAATTTTCTTTTTTAAGAAATTAATTTTATTTTAGTAATTATAGTTTACACAACTATATGCTTTAATGGCATGTTTCACACTTCTTTAAAAATATGTTATCATACCATAGGTAAAGGTAAAGGCCCTCCCGTTGATCGTCGATTTGCTCGAGCGGGCCCAGTAACGTCTCCATTGGAGACTTTGTTGTTACTGTGTCTGGCATATCGAATACTCTCGGTAGCTTGCCGGGCTCTCTTCAGATCGTATAAATCATACCATAACCACTACTAATTTATCCACCAATATTTCTGTAACATCAACCTATGGAGCTTCTCATTTCCTTCCTCCTAGTCTAATCACCTAAGCTCCATTGTTTGATCTATTAGTTTATTTTCATTAGGTTTTATCTTTTCCCTTAATTACTTCTCTATTATTGTACATGAGTGACATCAAAAATATTTATATACCATTTAGTGAAAAACAAACTTTACTTTCTAAATGAAAAGTTGAGACACATCATTCTTGAACATGGTGACAAAATATTCAAGGACAAGTAAGTTTATCAGAAAATAATTTTTGAAAAATATTGAATTTTGGTTATTTTAAGTTCAATCTTAAAAAAAAGCGAATTTTGTTTAAGTTTCATTTTAGGAAGAAAGCATGCAATTCATTAAATAAACATTATTATCTGTGATATTAGGAAAAATTGTATGCTACTATTCTTTATTTCTTTTTTTGTGGGATGAGGAGTTTTGGATGACACGTAGTAGTGCTTAGGGATTACCCCAGCTCTGTCCTCAGGATTAAGTTCTAAAGTGCTCAGAGCCCCATATGCAAGCCTCAGTGATTAAAACAAGGTCAGCTTCATTCAAGGCAAGCTTCTTGACCCTTGTACTATCTATCCAGCCCCAGAATTTATTTCTTAGAAATAAGCATATTTATATATATGCAAAATATTAAAAATTCATATGCTTTTTAGCATCATATTTTGAAGAGTTCTTAATTTTCATTTACTTTGAATGCCAAAAAAGTGAACTTATGTATTCAAACAGATTTATCAAATAATAATGTCTATTTTGTAGAAATCCATGTTACTTAAAGAATTATTTAGAATTCCTTTGAATAACAGGTTATTCTTAGAGTTATTTGAAAATACCCTCAGGCAACGCTTGCAAATTCTTATAATACAAATACTTCCAAGTTTTATTCAAAAGAAAAAGGATCTTTATAAGATAATCTTTACTAAAAATACAACTTTCTTTATTAAAAGACTGAAATTTCTAATATTTTATACTAAAAGAAATTATTTTGTAAACTTTAAGAAAAACAATAATTTCCCATTAAGCATTAAGTATTGCATGCAAAAGGACTCTAGAAAAGCTTCTAAATACATATTAAACTAATCAGCAATTTGTTATCTTCACAAATATGTTTGACAATATATTATGGGGTCTATCTCTGCATTCTACAACATAATATGTTTGGCATCAAAAAAATATAGTAAAATGGAATTACCCTAAAAGACATTTCAAGATTCTCTCCACCCCAGATATCCATTCCTGCATCGTATGTTCCTATCTCTTCAAAGTAGTTTCTGTCAATAGAAAATAGGCCACCAGCCATAGTAGGGGTCCTAGTTGAAAAACACAAAAACAAAAGAATATCTTGAAAACAATGTATGGAGTTTAATAAAAATGCAGCAAATATTTTTGAGACATTTAAAATTAAAAAAAAGAAACAATACTCAGAAAATCTCTACTGGAAACCACAAAAGTCAAGATTTTCAAGTTAATAAATAGCATTTTCATTTTACATTTTCTATAACATTAAGCTTATATTGACCTATATTTTTCGTACAGGTGATTCGACAAATAGACAAAACTATTAGACAGACAAATAGACTGGCCACAGAACACAGGGACTTCCACCTTCCTTCTTAAAGACACAGTGAAAAGATATTAGTGCTCTAGTCACTGCCCTGAAAAAAGAATTGGTCATTACCAATCAGTACATTACATCCTTAAAATACAAGTGATTATAGTTTATTATCTAATTACATACATCTTAATTTGAATTCTAGAAATATGTAGACATAATTTATCTATTAAAAGATCCAGATTCTAAATATGAAACCATTAAATAGTATAAAATGCTTATCCACTATATGCATTTTATGAAAGTTACATAAATATTTTCACATCAGAACTCTGTATTTAATTGTTTATTCTCTTCTTTGCCGAATAAAAATTATGAGGTGACCCATATAACCATATGGGTAAACAAGTCCATGTGTTCTTCAAAGATTTCAAAGATATCTGTGCAGATTCTTCTTGGAATAAATGCCCTTTTCACACATTTAAAATTATCCCTATAGACTAAATCAGATGTAAGCTTCAAAATAATTATTAATTAAAAATGAAAAGATCAAAGAATCCATGTGTAAATACAAAAAGATCAAAAGATCAATGTGTAAATTGCTATCTTTCCACATATGGGATATAGATTAAAACTGGAAAAAAAGGTGCTGTGGTGATAACACAGCGGGGTAAGTCACTTGTCCTGCATGCGGCTGACCTGGGTTTGGTCTCAGCATCCCATATGGTCCCTTGAACAGTTCCAATAGTGATCCCTAAGCACAGAACCAGAAACCTTGAGCAAAGACAAATGTGGCCCCAAAGAAAATCAAACAAACAAACAAACAATCACCATGAAAAAGAAAATTCTTGTAGTCCAGTAGTAGTTTTATCCATACCAACAGTAGTTATTTTTGGATGTTAGTTTTAGAATAATTATTTTCAATCTGTGAAGCACATCAATACATCTTCATCCCTGTAAAAGTCCTTTTTCATGCTTCGGTACTATTCTCTACAGATTAGAATTTAATATGGACCGGTGAGGCCCTGATATTTGGTATTGGATAAAATTCCCAGATGATTCTAAAGTGATGCTAAAGATGGGAAAGTCTGCACTAAGAACTGAAATTTGGAATGCCTAAGTGCCCTAGATTGTAAAAATGTTCTGCTTTTCTCAAAATTACATGCTCTTCTGCCACAGGGCATACTCATGTCTTCTAATTGAAAAGTACAGTTCACTGAAAAACCACCAAGTAATATGTACTTGGATAAGTACCATATTGCAAAGTTCTCAATTTCTCCCTGTGCTCTCACTGTTTAAAACTCAGGTAATTAACTGTCCATCACTTGGAGTACAGAGCCTCACTTGGTCTCCAAGCTGTTTTATTACTTCTACCCTTGCTGGGCTCCTGTCATGTACAGTATCATTGACCTTCTCAGTTATAATGAGAAGTACTAACAAAGCAAAACAGATGGTAATTATGGAATGGCCACAACCCTTTCCTGATTGAGCTTTTGTTACTCTGTTGCAATAACTCTATAAGGTATTACAGTGTTAGATCGGCTATTAAATAAAATGAGGAACAAAAATTGCTGCAATTATCCTATCACAAATCAAGCAAGTGGTTAAGAATGTTAAGTGATGCATTTTTAATAATCAGTTCAAAGTGATAACCACTTACCTATTTACTAATAAAGTAATAATGCTTTTAACATATATTTAATATATATTTAATACATATTGAAGTCCATATTGCAATTGACTATTATCTCTACAAATACATTGAAATGTATGATATAAACGGCTTAAATTATTATAAGAATAATTTGCATATATATCATTTGTACCTGAAAAGTGATAAATAAAAGCAACATTTTTTTTAAAAAAATATTGAATACTCTGGGAGAAGAGAGTAGTCAATATTTTTTGAGAAAATACTTTGGTTTTATTTAACAGAGGGAGAGAAGAAAAGTGCCTCCTATAAAGGACAGTTCAGATAGAAAAGGGAACACCAAATGGAGGGTGTTTGGAGGATTCTCCCAGGAGGGGAGATGCAGGTTGAAAGTAGACTGGACTGAACATGTTTGCCACTCAATGTCTCTTTTGCTGATCACAACACCCAAAAGGAGAGAGAGAACAAAAGGGAATGCCCTGACACAGTGGCAGGGGGGGATGGGGGGGTGGAGGGGAGGGATATTATCCATGGTGGTGGAAAATGGGCACTGGTGGAGGGATGGGTATTTGATTATGGTATGACCGAAATCCAAGCACAAAAATTTGTAAATCTACAACTGTACCTCATGGTGTTTCACTAATAATAATAATAATAATAATAAAAGTGCCTCCTATAGAGCCATAGAGGCAGGTTGGGGGAGGGAAATGGATGCTGGCAGAGAGATGGGTTTTGAATTATTGTATGACTGAAGCCTGATCATGAACACCTTTGTTACTGTGTATCTTACAGTAACTCAATTTTAAAAAATAAAAATTGAAATAAAAAAAAATTGACTACTAAGCCTATTGGTGGTAGGGCAGTTGCCTTGCATTAAACTGACCCAGGTTCAATCCCAGAAACTCCATATGGTTCCTCAAGACTACCAGGAGTGATCCTTAAATGCAGAACCAGGAGTAAGTCCTGAATACAGTTGGGTGTGGCCCTTAGACAAAGAAAAACTAGAAAGTGTTTTCTGAAAGAGATGATCCTAGAAAGATTATTTTTGTTTTGTATTTGCAATGTCAGGGATTTCTCCCAGATATTCAGAAGATGGTGCTCTAATACCTAGGGATGGAATGATAGCAGGTAAGGCTATTGACTTTCATAAAGCTCACCTGAATTTGATCCATAACACTACATACTGTTCTCCGAGTATCACCAGGAGTGATCCCTATGCACAGAGCCAGAAGTATCACTGTATCTCCCCTTCCTACTGTTACAAGTGTGTGTGTGTGTGTGTGTGTGTGTGTGTGTGTGTGTGTGTGTGTGTGAGGTAAGGCCACTGTTAAGGAACATGTTCTGAGTTCTGAGTTAAGTGCTCTGTACACCCCTAATGAACTATTTACATATGCTTATGTATGGATCTTAAGTGTTTACAATGCTTAGAAAATGAAAAAAAAACTTGATTAAAGTTAAATTAGATGGATGATATTATTTGTTTTTGAAGGTTTCATTTATACAATGTCAAGACACAGAATTCAGTCTGTTGGGAGAAAGGAGGAATTTGGTAATTGTGTTTGATAAAGTAAGTAAAAGTAAAGGCCCTCCCGTTGATCATCGATTTGCTCTAGCGGGCCCAGTAACATCTCCATTGGAGACTTTTTGTTGTTACTGTGTTTGGCATATCGAATACGTCACGGGGAGCTTGCCAGGCTCTGCCGTGGGGGCGAGATACTCTCGGTAGCTTGCCAGGCTCTCCGAGAGGGGCGGAGGAATCGAACTCCGGTTGGCCATGTTGGCTGCATGTAAGGCAAACGCCCTACCGCTGTGCTATCGCTCCAGCCTGTGTTTGATAAAATTTAAAAAACAAAGATGCATCATATTACAAAGAACTCCAAAAATAAATATCTGATTTGGGCAAACAATGATTTTTTTCAGCAGAAATTGAAAAGTTAATAAAGACAATTATGAATCCATTAGATTATTGAGAAATTCTAAGAGAATCCCTGTTTTGTCATAAAGACAATGCAACCTATATTTCATATGAGATACATGCCATGTATGTAAAAATCAGGTAGAGAATAAAGATACACTAGGTATAGTCAAGTTTAGTCTTTAAGAATATGATTTTACTTCAACTGACAAAACTAAAATCTCAAGCCCACAGTGATCTTTAGCAAGTCACTTAAACTCAATGTCTCAATGTCATTATCAATGAATCCTACTATGCGTTGCTGAATGTAATATTCATAGAGCAGTATCAGTTCATAACAACTGCTATACATTTTCAGTTTTAATTTTAAAAGGAAAAATTTAACAGGGGGCTAGAGAGATAGGGCGCTGGCCTTTCCAACCTGGTTTCTATCCCCTGCATCCCAAACAGTTCCCCGAGTCCACCAGAAGTCCTTCCTAAGTAAAACCTTTGCATCACCAGGTGTGCCCCAGCCCCTCCAAAGGAGAAGAAAAGTTTTATTTTCCCCAAGAAGTGAGTTTTGATTTTAGAATAAAAATTTAAATATTTTAATTATTTTAGAGTTTTAAAATCCCTACAAATTTGGTCAGGCTAATTGAATTATATGTTTAAATTTTAATTGCTATTCAAATACCCCAAAGCACTTAGTGACTTTTTAAGAAATTCTATTAATATCTCTCACTTCTCCCATACATAACAAGTCAGAACTAAACTTACTTAAGTAGTTGAAACAGTTAACTTGGAATATACCTTTACTGAGTTTTAAGCTCAAATTTATACACCATGCTTTCCTGTATTTTTTAGCTGTTCTCAAATTTATTTCAAAGTTATTAAACGTAATCCTTTACTCTTGATATTTGTTACTTTTGATTTGTTACCTTTGATTTTATTTTATCTATTTTCCATAATAGTCATAACTTTGCAAAACTTACAAAGTTAGCCTTTTAGGCATGTGGCCCAATGGGCTGAAACATATCTGCCGCAGGGGGAATCCGCATTTTTGTTGTTGTTTTGGGGCCACACCCAGCTATGCTCAGGGTTTACTCTTGTTTCTGGGCAAAGGGATCACTCCTGGTTGAGCTTGGGGAATAATACAGGGTCAAGAGTATTGAACATGAGTCAGCTACACGCAGGACAACCACCTACGCCACTG